TTTTTGATGATTTTAATGTTTTTTATTTCATTTTTTGAAAAAAAATTATAAATTAGTTTAGCTGTCAAGCTGGAATTGATCTATTTTTAAAATGTGGTTTATAGAAGAAGTTAATTGTACACTGACCACAAAAATTTTTCTACAGGAAGTATTTTGGAGAGAAGGTTGGTCTGTATTTTGCCTGGCTAGGAGTCTACACACAGATGCTTATCCCTGCCGCCCTCGTTGGAGTCATTGTGTTCCTCTACGGCTGTGCCACAGTTGATGATAACATCCCCAGGTACACAGCTCACACACAGAGACAGGAATTGTTTATTTTATCCCCTGCTGAATTTAACAGCTCTWTGGTCTGAAATGTGCCAATCAGTCAGCTTCTGTCTTTTATATGCAGTTTCCCAAATATCATGTACCTCTGCCCAYTGGGCCCRGAGGCGYACTGTTCTCTGGCTGTCTGTGTGTTCGGCTGCGTTCACACTCAGAGTGTTTTCAGCATCAGGTTTACATTTAAWGTCTGTGGTGGACAYGCATCAAGGAGYRTCAGGAAGTGCTGYGATTCATTTAGAGTGTCTAGCGTAGCATGYTTTAAAGCATTTTGAGCTTTTTAAGGGTGTTACACACATTTAATGCTGGAGATGGAAAGTCTGAACTTTTGCAGCTCAACACGGCGCGTCAACCAATCTCCTCTATGCAACGTAGTGGCATGTTTTCTGACAGGATGGTTTCCTGGTTACCTGAGACAGATGGACAGTAGCTCATCAGCTGAAATCTAYCATCTGTAGTCGGTGTCCTGGCAGGAGATGTGGGCACCGATGTGGTTCAGCGGCTCGTCAAACTGAGCTCGGTACAAAAATAATTCTGAAAGCGAGCCTCGTCAGCTCGCAGCTCCTGGAGTGGTGAAACTCGCCAAACTCAGAACGTCTCTGAATTATCTGTTAAATTAATTGTGAATTAAATATCTGGTGAGCATGACCTTCTGCTGCTCTCAGTAAATAAAGCATTATTGTACATACAGTTTATTGCACTTTGTATTGACATTGTATTTAAAGCATTTTATGCACTGAGAAACAGCAGAAGTATTTTTTAAGAACTGCACATGAGCTTGATATAAAAATCTGTAAATTACTCGTGTTTTATTCCATGGAACTGAATCAAATTATTCTGATGTCTCAATATTTTATGTTCTGTTATGATTCATCCATTTCCATTTTTTCTTTTTGTTTTTTTGTGAAGTATGGAGATTTGTGATCCCAGGAACAACATCACCATGTGTCCGCTCTGCGACCGCGCCTGCAGCTACTGGAAGCTTGTGACGGCGTGTGGCACAGCTCGAGCCAGCCACCTGTTCGACAACCCAGCCACAGTCTTCTTCTCCATCTTCATGGCCCTTTGGGGTAAGAACACCATCACATCCAAAAAAAAAATGAAAACTTAACACTGAGGGGGAAATAGTTGACTTCCCACCTGTAGACAGGTAAAATGTTTCACCCAGAACAGCCCTGCGCAGGTATTTCAGCCTTTTGCTCTTGAGCTCTGAACTTGAATCCTAACATAAAATTTGCAACACAAATCGGCGAGGCTAACACACAGAGAGCCCTCTTCTGATGTCCTGCCAAACTTCACAGCCATCTGTTAGCAGCAGCAGGGCCTCAGACTGCAGAAGTGTTGTGATCAGATGAAGCTGGTATCTGACGGTGTCACCGCATGACAGCCATCTGGATTCACCTGCTGCTGACCCGAGGAGGCGCAATACCGCAAAAACAACCTCGATTTCAAATCTTTCCATTAGAGGAAACAATATCACAGCGATAGCAAACGGCAATATGGTTGTGTCCATAAAACCAGATGAGAAAACTCAYGTTCACAGTGCTGAGATTTCTCACATTAACCAGATAATTGGACCATTACATTTGAAACCAGCACCTGGTGAAGTCATAAATTCAGTTTTCTTTCTCACAACAAAATGATCAGATTAATAATCTACCCACTATTGTGCTATTTTTGGAGGTTTTCTATTAAACAAAAACTGAGATGAAGCTGTGGAGTACTGATGCCATTTGGATCCAGCAGAAGGTGGTGAGCATGCTAGAGACTTTCCACTGATCCAAGTGTGTTAGTCTGACATGAAAATTAGATTTAGTTTGATTTWAGTTAGTCACAAGTCTGGTTTTAGTCAGACTGATACAATACTGTAATTTATACAAACCTGTTATAACTATAGTATACTGGTCACTCATTAAGCCAGTCCTTACATTTAATATCTCATCATGGTCTAAACTCACCAGAATCATCAGACAGTTAAACTTATCAATACCCCAGGAATTAAAGGAGATTAAATCTCTCAGGACTTTATATTCGTGCRGTACAAAGGAAAGCAAACTCTTATCACCAAGGACCCATTACACCCCCTTCACCAGTCACTTTAACTCCTACCTTCAGGTTTGTCACTGCTTAAACTAAAAAAAAATTGTAGATTTACAAATGGTAATAGGTATGTGGCAGGGTTTTTCAACTGGCAACCCGAGCGTGACTTTGACTGATTTGTTTACTTAGATAATATAAAAATGATTTTAAATCAATTGAATCATAAATTTGAAATTTACAATGCAACAGAATGAACAAAATTAAAAGGTAAATACTTGTTCTTTTACATAATGCAATGTTTCCCCTACCACTGGGCTCCGCCCCTGCAGGAAGTCTGGCTCCTGAGGAACTTATGTTATGATTGTATGGTTTTGTATGGATTCTGTTTTGTGTTTTGAGGTGTCTAAGGCTCTTAGTAGAAGAAATACAATTTTTGTGATTTACACAATTTTGTGAACATAATATTTTCTTTTGCCTTATTGTGACACTCTGTGTAGAACTGAAGTAAACACTCATAGGCTGGGCTTGTGTTCAGTTTCCTGTTTGTGTGTGTTTTGTTTTRTTTCTACCTTTAGCCGTTCTCTTCATGGAGCACTGGAAGAGGCGACAGATGCGGCTCAACTATGTTTGGGACCTAACAGGCTTCGGAGAGGAGGAGGAGGTGAGAAAACTCCACAAATATCTTCTTAATGAGCTATTTATTGTAAAAAAATTCATCTAAATACTTTAGCTGTTAAAAACATMGACATGTTTTAATCCAGACTGGGAAGTTACTTCAAGAGAAAAATAACACAAGTTTTGAGTTTTACAGTAACTATTCAGGATTCTGAAAAAACAGCTTAATTAGATTTGTGCAAATTGTATTAACCAAGATGCTCGTTAATGACATGAGTTACTGTTTGCTTTTAATTAAACCAAATGTTAGCTTAAATCTGACAAGAGCCTCATTTTAATCTAACTAGAAACCTGGCAGAATTGATAATCTGCTTAATAAACCCATTTTTTTTCTGTATAAACTCAACTTTGAAATGCTCCATCCAACTCTCAACAAGTAGTCTTTACTGGTGTCTGATTGGACGACAGTTACATAAACATGGGATTTAATGAGGAATGCTTTATTATTAAATAATAATCTCCAGCACAGTAATGTAAGATGAACTAACAGTAGAGTTGTTTAAATTAAGACTTTGAAAAGTGCTGCTAATTATAATAATGAATGTAAAGAAACAAAACAAGTGAGAAAAACMGTTTGAGATGTTAAAAATCAAACCCTGTCAGGTGTGTCCTGAACAGTGTGAGGTGACAGATGAGTCAACCTTTTGTTCCAGCTTTTGGCACAAAATAAATTCCAGTAACGGGTCAGAATTTGCTGATAAATGTTGTAATTTAGTTTTTGTTCTTTAGTGAGTCAGCCCGGCTGAGAGTCGGGCTGCACTGGTTGTTCTTCAAATACATATACACACACACAAAAAATCATTTAAAGTCGACTGCACTCTGACATCTGTGTTTGTGTCTCTGCTGTATTTTACAGGAGGAGCATAAGGTTTGTTTTAATTTTCAGTTCACTGTGTTGAAGCTGACCCTCTGTTTAACTCACTGTTTCAGATCTGCACTGTAGCTGCTGTTGTCTCACACCCTCTCCTTCCTCAGGTGTCTAACAATCTGCCTCAGGTCCTTTCAGCAGACAGCCGCCTTGTTGCTTTAAAGCTGTGTAACCTTTAATATTTTACCTGAAGCTCCTGTCTGCTCCACTCAGGCTCACCCTCTTGCCTGCGCTGGTTCTCATACTGATGTTTCAGTCTGCTCTGACAGCAGACGGTCTGGCGGTCAGGCTGCTCTCTTGTCTTTGCGTTCATCTATAGTCTAGACTACTTTTTTTATGTTTCTCCACAATTTTGGTTACACAAGCCTCTGACCTCTTGACCAGACATGAGTTCAGAAACAAGTTCATTGTAGCAACTTGGATCACAGATAGATATAAAAATGTGAACTTTTTTGTGCATTGATTTCTGATTCAAACCATGTGGTTTTCTATGTCTTCTTCAATTTCCCTATTTTAATCGTTGCTAATGAGACTAAAAATGAGAAGGAAGTTTTTGTTCTTGTTAACCAGAGTTTAATTGTTACTTTTGTTATAGGTTTTGAGATAGATTTTGTGTGATTCTTTACTTGTTCAGAACTGCAATGATTGTAAGAGTTGGTTAAATGGGATGTGAATCATGTTTTTAGGCTTAAAAAAACACAGGGCTGCCCTTCCTGAGTCTGGTTCTGCTTCCTGTCTTCTGCAGTCACCTGTGCATGCTCAGGATGGGAAAATAATAGGAAGTAAAGTAAATAAAAGTGAAAATTTGAAGCAAGCCAGTGAYTCTGTTTTACAAACTGTTTTTTAAATTGATGAATTTCCTGAATCTGAATGTAATAATTGTGTTGAATCAGACTGTCTGAAGTTAGATTTAAAACAGAAGTGGTTCTTTTTTTCTGCATAGCACTCTGAGTCAGCTTTTATTGCAAATGAGCGTCAGACAATTGGACTGAATTGAATGAAAATGTTGACGCAGGTCTCTGTTGGAAGCACAGAACGACCTGCTCTGCAGTCACTCAGCTCCGTGTTTTGACATTTTCAACAGCATCGAGCCTTTAGCAGCAAACCCGAGGATGGAAGAAGAGAGAATATTATTATTACACTCATGAAAAAGACATAAAGTCAAACCCGGATCTCTCCCAGCTTCACTGGTGAAGTTCATAATCATGGAATATATATATATATATATATATATACTCATTTTAACTCAGACTCAAAGCCAGTTTTTGGATGAACTTGTGCTGAATTCATACAGATCGAAACAGCTTTACCTCCATTTATCTTTTTGTTTAAGGTCTGTTTTCACTCTTTTCTACTTGCCACACATGCACCTCCAGGTGAGGAGTGATGGTCTAACCCTCAGCCTTGTTTCCTCTCTGACTGCAGCCTGTCGTCAGTCTTCTGGGTTCACTAACGCTGATCCACGTGCACATATTCACTCACCACTGGCTGCATATTAAAGGGACATGTTCCTGTTACATTCCTTAATCTGAAAGGATTATTTGGCTCACCGTTTTGGAGATTTGTCCTTTTTTTTAATGCTGACAGAATCAGTTGGGCGGGAAGGAGATTCACATTTGATAAACAAATCCTGACATAGTCTGCTCCATCTCAGCATCATAGTCAYAAAACAAATTGGGCTATTCCCCCATCAGACTAAAATTGTAAGTAGTTTGCCCTCTGTTGTTGTTCTTGCACCACAATCTAAATATGATCATCATCCAATAAATCAATTATTTTATATGATAATCTGCCTCTGTACTGACTGAACGAGTCCTGTTTAATTGGCTCTGAACACACACACACAGATGATCTGCTCTGGTCCTGGGATCAGTCAGCATCATAGTTTGACTCAAAGGCTTATTTTTTTAATTCATCACGACATCATACAGCACGAGTGCATCTGCAGCCAGGTTTAAGCCAGGTATCATAGAGACAAGTGGGTGATTCAGAATTATAATAAAATAGTCAAATTTTCATTTGCGGTTTCACTGAATTGTGAGCGATTAACACCAAGCGTTCAGTGAGCTGTGAGGAGGTGTTTTATGTGCCCAGTTTTTCAAAATCACCATCTATTTTCCCATGCATGGTCTGCTAAACTGGATTCTGTGCCATGCATGTTATTTTGTTGCCCACATCTCACCCACCTCTGCAGCCAGGCCCCACATTCATTTTTTTTCACAATATTCATCCTTATCACAGTGCTTAGATGTGAACATTTTCATGGCTGTAGCCACAGGTGGTCCCTATCACAGAAAACCTCCCATGTATTTGTTCAGCTAACACCTTTAGCACACTTTTTATTTATTTTTTAAAACTAAATTGGGAAGGGTTTAAGATGGATTCGAGAGACATCTGCAACAAAAGTGGGAGAGTTTTAAGACAGGTTTGAGAGTTTAGTGAGAACTTTGCATCTGTTTTGAAAAATCATCACTCAAACTATTTCAGAATTCAAGCATCAAGGCTACGAGCCTCTGCAACCCCCACCAGGAAACTGAGACCCCACACAAATGCTTTGACACATTTTAGAGACACTCAACAGTATGGTTTGCCAACTAGCTGAAGGGAGTCGCCTCCCAGTGAGAAACTGGKTTTTTATTAATTAATTAATTTGTTGGCAGACATGCTTATGTATTTTTAGTGTATATGGATGCATAAACTGTATGYATTTTATTTGTATAGAAATGCCCAACCAGGGACTGGAGTTGCATATTAGCTGTAGCTTTTTGTGCAACGCATCAGTTACAGACTTGATCTGTTCTATGTTTTTGTAAGCATTGTCCCTGTTAAATAAAGATAAAGAAAATCTGTATTTAAAGATATTATCATTGCTAGCGCCCATATTTTTATTCACAAATTTAGCTTGAGAACTTCATAATTTGAGTTCTCATGAGCTGAATATTAGCTGAGGTCATAGCTGTGTCACTCCAACACCAACTACAATTGGGCTTCGGTTTGAGGTGTTTCACATAATCCTTTCATGGTCAGTTTTTTTTCCATATATTATTTCATTGTGCATCGTTTCACACACAAAGAGCCTGTTCTGCTGAGACCCAGAAGCCCACACTGCTCCTTTCATCCTTTCCTCCATGCTGAGGTGGATCTTCACTGATGTTTTCTGKCTCTTAACCTCAACTGTTCACATAATCAGCAGAATGTTGAAACGCATCAAGCAAACTGGTTTCCCTCTTGCAGGACCATAACCGAGCAGAATACGAGTTCCGGGTCATGCAAAAGGCGATGAGACAGGATCAGTCGGCCCCAAAGGTAAGACCGGTCGATGCTGAATTTTTTTTTCATGGTTTGAAATCTTTTTCTTCTCGGTACTACAGGTCTTATATAAGCAATCTGAGAGAGTTTAGGTTTCCAAAAAAGCATTGTTTTAACTAAACTTGGCACAAAAACTAATGAGATTTGGTAGATTATTTGTTGTAAYAATGCTTCTTGGCAATAAATCTGTTTGGCAGAGAAGATTGGGCAAAATGTTCATGGGCGCAACCCACGTACACAGCTCTACTGCTCATCCCACAAATGCATGTTCCTTACAAAAGTGACACCATTTAAAAGGGAAATGAACAGGCTTTCCAACAGTATAAGATTTATTGCCAAGAAGCATTGTWACRACAAAGAAATTATCTACCAAACACCTTTTTGTGTGAAGTACATTTGCAGACCACATCTTGGAATATTTCACTCTTGAGCTCAGCTCAGGCCAACCTGATGAAAGTAACAGCATGAAAGTCTCTTTCAGCAAGCCACTAAAAAATGGTACAGTACATCCACAGGAAATAGACACTTCAGAGACTGTAGCCTGTATCAGCCTATATCAGATTGTAGGTATAATGAAAAGTAAAAGCTTTGCAAAAGGTCATGTAGGAATTTTTACATTTGCTTTGTGGATTTTTTTTTTCATTCTGTATTTCCCAAAATGTTTTGTGCTTTTATTCTTAATATTTTCATTTAATTAATAATAATTAYAAGTTTCTGCACATCTGTCCTGCAACACATTCTAAAACGTTTAGTCAGAGGCACTTTCAGACCTTCTCTTTGCCACAGAAACGCTTCAAAGCTCAATCAAGGGATGTAATGAACAACAACGAGAGGACCGGTCAGGAAATGACGGTTCTAATTAGAGCAGTAATCATGTTCATTGGTAGCTTTGTCTCGATGGGGGAAAGTGTTAATGAGACACTGAGACATCTTTGTGTGAAGAGAAAAGTCCTGAGAGTGAAGAACAACACCATGTTCTCGGGATGAGGTTCAGAACGGAGCCTGTTCATGCTGAATATCAGCCCCTCTGTTGTCTTTCCCTGCACCAAGGTCACATCTTCCCTTTCAACACACACACACACACACGCACACACACACACACACACACAAAGAGAGAGAGAGATATGCCTGAGCTTCCTGACCTCATTCTTCAGGGTCCTGAATGTGACATGGTAGCTCGGGGTGGCATTAGCTCTGCTCCACTGGAGCTCCACAGTACGCAGCGTTTTAGTTGTGCGATGTGTGCGACTGTGTGCCGGAGGTTTGAAGAGCTCCTAACAGAAAGACGTGAGGCTGTAGGAGAGAGAAACACACGTCTTAAACACACAGATGGAGGATGTTTTTAAAATGCTCACTATTAAATCCCTTGGTGTGTGTGTGTGTGCGTATGTGAGCTTGTTTTTGTGTTTATTTCAGGAGGAGAAAGTGAAGCTGACTTGTACAGACAGACTGCCAGCTTACCTGACCACCCTGGCCATGATGGTCTTTATGGTGAGCTTCTGCAGCCGCTTCTCCACATTCTGACATCACAGTTTGTTCAGGTTTTATCTACTGAAAACGAAATATACAAAATGTGCATCTTAAACTTGAGATGAAAATGAGACTTTTACGCACAGAACAAATAAAARCACATCAAAATTAGTTTTAACTGTCACATTTTATGAGGAAAAATGCGCATGCAGCTACTGTGTCTGCAAGGTATTTGGTTGTTTGCATCACTTTTCAGCCTCTTCATCAGATTGTCACATCAAGCGTTTCTGCCCATTTTCCCTCCAGATATCCGTGACCTTTGCCATCGTCTTCGGGGTCATCCTGTACCGGATCAGCATCAAGGCGGCGCTGCACATGAGCAGCTACCCTGCGGCTCGGTCCAACATCCGAGCCACCGTCAAAACCACAGCTGCCATCATCAACCTCATCGTCATCATCATCCTCGATGAAATCTATGCCGCCATCGCTCGCTGGCTCACTGTACTGGGTGAGGCACGTTTTGTAGTCGGCACCTGATGGGTGGGGAGGATGACTGAAAACTGACTTGAAGAGAAGGGGACAATCCAGCAGCATAAAGAGTTTATTTACTGTTTCCTGCTTCCTGACACAGTTTAATAGCACTCCTTATATTTTTTGATGTGTTTTTTTATTCTGATTAGCTCTACTGCTGTTTATCATTCCAAGGTTTCAAACTAAAATCATTATATGTTGAGAAATGAGAAAAGGAAGCTGTTTTTATGTTTGGAAAAATGATATCATGGACAATCTTACACAAAACTGTGAAATATTGCATGATCTGTTCGTTCTCAGAGTATGTTTAATGAAGGACTCTGGGCTACGAACAAATCACTTTTCAATTCAATATTTGTTAATCGAGTTTTAGYCCTTCATGTTTTTGCTAATTTCCTTTAGCTGTTGTTCCCATCTTGGCCTGGATTGATTGAAAAAGACTGGTCACTTCCCCTTTTAACACAGAATATTTTCTTGTTAAATTTTAACATKAACTTTTTTAACTCCCTAAGTGACATCTGCGTAACATCCTGATTCAGTCATGTGACTGGGAAGGGACTCTGGGTACTGAGATTTTCATTTCCAGTCTTGGTGCACCTGGGCAGCTAATGCAAGCTAATTAATTAAGCTAATTTTAGAGACTTTTTTCTCTTGGCATTGCTAAATTTTCACTTATACAGCTGTTCTAATGTCATATTTCACATAAAACCTAGTTTGACCGCATTTGTAAAACAATTTAATATAGCCTAGGTTTGTCAGATATCTTAGTTTATGTCACATCAGACAATAAATTCTAAATTATACAAAAAAATTCCATGTGGCGTGTCACAAAGAGACCATCAATAATCATCTGCTTTATTAATCAACTCATTCYGTTATTTTAGATAATTTCATTTGTTTATTTTAAATTGTATTTAAAGAAATATAAGCATGAAAATTTATAAAATTATTCAAATTAAATTTATTATAAATTTACTTTGTTCACTCAATATGACACTTCTGACATTTCCAAAAGACAGAGATATTAAAAAAAAAAATCAAACATATTATAATCTATATAATCTATTTGTTATAATTTACAACCCCCATATTTTTTATAAAAGTAGAAAAGGGTCTGGGTTCCAAAGAGTTAATCAGTTGTAAATGTACACCCTTGAAATRTTAATGACAACATTTTAAAGACTTTGCTATTTGTCTAGCATGAGTATGACTCTCAGCTACTACCACATCCAAGTTGAGCTCCTATTTAAATTATTTTTGACTTGTTCAAGTGGCTCATGAAATTTCTTGCTAAGGGACAAATAAAATCATCTCTCACATTCACACTCACACACAAACACAAGAAGGTGCATTTAAACAACACATATATTAATAAGCAGGAGTAGGTCGTGAAACTAACAAGCATGGTGAGTAATCACTCTGCTTCAATGAATACTCACGTTKTTGTTGCTTTGGCAGTTCAAATGTTCGTGCTGACTCTTGGAATGTCTATTACTTCCACACTGTTTTAATTTTTCATTGATTTACATTTAATTTTGTATTTACCATTATTTAATCAGGCAAGATATCTTTTGCAAGGGAGGCCTGGGCCTGAAGGCAGCCTATTGTACATGTTTTTGGTCATTGGTGGTTGTTGTCGTCTCATGAACACATTACAGGACGACTACTCACTTAGTTTGCACAATAAGTAATAAATATATGTAATTTCTGTTTCAGAGGTTCCAAAGACAGACAAGAGTTTTGAAGAGCGCCTCATTTTCAAAACGTTCATCTTGAAGTTTGTCAATGCCTTCACACCCATTGTCTACTTGGCTTTTTTCAGGGGCAGGTAAAACATTTCAATGAATCATTTACCTAAATATAACATGTCTGAGTGGTTGCTGTGTGTGTTTCTCTGTGTGTTGTTTAAAGTTGTGTCATTATTAAAGAGAATACCCCCAGCTTTTCTTTTTAGACTGATGTTCTTTTGTTTGTTTATTTCCAGGCTTGTYGGGAGACCTGGAAACTACTTGTATGTTGTTGGGTCATACAGAATGGAAGAGGTAATTCAGTTTGACTGAGGTGTTACTGTAATTGGTGGCAGATGTTTGTCAGGGTTGTGTATCAAAGGAGCATCATAGCATTTGATTGTATATGAAATGTTTTTCTTATGGCTGCTCCCTTCTGCAGGAGGTCACCATAGTGAGAAAACTCAAAAATAAGTTGGCAGTTATTTAACACCAGACCACCTTTCTGAGGCAACATGCACTTGAACCAGTAGCCTTACTAGCACAAGACCAGCTCAAGATTGTTGCGTTTKCTCCAGTKGACCACCTGGTTGACCACTCATCTGTAAACAGACGCATCACAGTCATGAATGAGATGTCATCTGCAAGCTGGGTCTGTGGAGGGGCAGCCATTTGTGTACAAGAAGAGCAGTGGGGAGRGTACACAACCCTGCAGGGCACCCRCATTGGTGATCCTGAGGTGAGGTTCCCGAAGCCTCACCTGCTGCTCTCTACCAGTGAGGAAGTTGGTGATCCACTGGCAGGTGGGGGTTGGCACAGTCAGCTGAGTTAGTTTGTTATGGAACAGTCCTGGGATGATTGTATTAAAGGCAGAGCTGTAGTCCAAGAAYRGGATCCTTGCATATTTTCTTTGATGTTCCAGGTGTTGGGTGACACAGAGTCCCATRTTCACTGCATCCTCTTTTATGATGGCATGCAAACTGCAATGGGTCTAACAGAGGGTTGGTGATGTCCTTCAGGTCATTGAAGACCAGTCTCTCAAAGCATTTCATGACTACAAAGGTTAAAGCAATGGGTCGGTAGTCATTCAGTCCTGTGACGGCTGACTTCTTGGGGATGGGTACAATAGTGGAGCRTTTGAAGCAGGAGGGTACAACACATAGCTCCAGTGAAGTGTTGAAGATCCAAGTGAAAACTGGTGCAAGCTGTTCTGCGCAGGTCCTCAAGCAAGTGGGTGAGACTCCATCTGAGCCTGGTGCTTTCCTCGCTTTTAGTTTATTGAACAATATTTACACGTCATCCACGCAAATCTTAAAAACAGGTTGGATAAGTGTCACTGGGTGGCTGAGTGTCARGACGATGTGAACTGCTGCTGAACTGTGTGGAACTGAGCTTTTCAAACCTACAGTAGAAGGTGTTGAGCTCATTAACCAGCTGATGATCACCCACTTTTCTGTAAGGGTGGTCTTTTGTAGCCRGTGATGTTCTGCAGGCGCTTCCTGGCAGTTGATGGTTCATCGGTCGACAACAACTGCTTCGCTTGTTTGAACAGAGAAATCAGAACTGCTAAAAAGAACTGTTCAGTGTGTTCATTGCCATATTGTACAGCACTCGATCTCCACTCCTGTATGCCGCCTCCTTGGACCGGCGCAGCTGCTTCAGTTTGGCATTAAACCAGGGCTTGCCATTGTTGTATTTTATGCAAGTCTTGGTGGGAACACATGTCCTCACAGACGCTGATGTAACATGTCCGTGTCATTGTATTCATCCAAGTTACTTGTAGCTTCATCAAACACAAACCAGTTTGTCTGTTCCATACAGACCTGAAGCCTCTCTTTAGCTTTATTGGTCCACCTTTTCACAATACTGACCACAGACTTGGCACGCTTCAGCTTCTGTCTGCAGCTCAGGAGAAGTTGTATTAAGCTGTGTTCAGAGATGCCCAGGGCAGCAGGGGGGACAGAACGATATGCACCCTTTAACACGGTGTAGCAGTGATCCGATGTGTTACTCTCCCTGTTGGAGCAGGTGACATAACATGCTGTCTGTATTTAGACAGTTCTGTAGACAGTTTAACTCAGTTGAAGTCCGTGTGTTTATGCTCCACACTGATAATCTGCTCTGAGTGTGTGCAGTGCCTCACGGAATTTAAACTGCCACAAGCACAACAGATGAAAATTCCTTCAGACAAAACAGTTTGCAGTTGATTAAAAAAAAGACTCCAGATGGGGACTACAAGTTTTTGTCAACACCCTGATATCTGCACACCGGCGCTGGTTGATCTAAAAGCAGACACCTCCTCCTGGAGTGTCTTGTCCCAGTCCACTCTGTGAAGACAGAAACTGGGGATCTTGAGCGCGTTGTCCAGGACAGACTCTGTGAGCCAGACCTCAGTGAAGCACGGTGCAGCAGAGAGAGAAAAGTCTGGTTAGCTGTGAACAGTTGTCCATTTTGTTGTCTATGGAGTGAACACTTGCCATAAAAATGCTCGGTAACATGTGTGCATAGTCCACATTTTCGGAGTCTCACAAGCACTCCTGCATGTCCGTCTGCATTTATAACAGTTGAGGCGAGAAGACATTCTGCTCACAATGGCAGCATGACGGCTCAGTGGTTATACTGACACCTCACAGCAAGAAAGTCCTGGGTTTGATCCCCGGTTCAGACCTGGGGCCTTTCTGTGTGGAGTTGGTATGTTYTCCTCGTGCTTGCGTGGGTTTTCTCCGGGTACTCCGGTTTCCCCCACCCCCAATAACATGTACAATAGGTTGCCTTCAGGCCCAGGCCACCCTTGAAAAAGAGATMTGCAATCTCAACTGGACTTGCCTGGTTAAATAACGGAAAAATAACTAAAAATAAATAAATAATGCCCAAATAGCGGTCAGAAAACAAACAAACAGGCATAAATTCTGATGGCATAAGCTGCCTGATATTCAGCAGATCTTATGTGCTATATTTAAAAGCAGTAAGTTCACATCTAGCAAAACAAATAAAAAACATTACAGATCCCGTCTGCGAGGCCATAGCAACCACTATTATTAGCTAGAAGTAATGTTGATGATTTAGGCTATAGCTTAAAACTTGGTCAAACTGAAAACAAGTACAAAACAAAACTTTATTTTTTTAGTATGAATCTGTTTCTCTCTGCAGTTTGTTTTCTAAAAGTGAATTATTGACCATTTAACAAACTAACTTGATGTGTCTCAATCAAATAAATGACTTATCCAATCTTCACAATCAGCTTTTTAAACCCCCCACTCCATACTTTATGGTGTTCTGCTTCAATATGTGTCTCTGTCACTTTAAAAAATGCTTTTCTTTTTCTTTGTCTTCTCTGCAGTGTGCCCATGCAGGCTGCCTCATGGAGCTGTGCATCCAGTTGTGCATCACCATGCTGGGGAAGCAGCTCATCCAGAATAACTTGTTTGAGATTGGAATACCGTGAGTGTTAATGTATCTGAGACATCCAACTGAACTGAACAGGCCCTTACAGGTCACAGTATGTGGGCGCGGTAAATCACAGAATACATTAAGCCCACCCACTCGGTTGTTCCTGCACCCRAGAGGAGTCGGGTAAACGTCTGTCTGGTTTTCAGACTCTTACATGAAAACACTTTGGTAAACTCTTTGATGTCCTGTCAGTACAGTTGTATGAAAGTGTAGGTCATTGTWCATTTGATTTTATTTTTATGATGTAATTCTTCAGCAGTTATGCTTGAACGTTCATATGACATCTTACATTTTGAAATCTTACATAAAGACCACTAGAGAGTTGCTGTTGTGTACTTAACCAGTTAATTTCTATTGTGTTAGAGCCAGTTATGTCATTTTATTGTGTGTGTGTGTGTGTGTGGGTGGGGGGGTTATACTGAAAGGATCAAATCATTGTGGGGGTCATAACCTCTCTAACCCCCACCCCAAATTATGCCCATGTTCTTTACTATTATTTTATTATTGAGATAGCACCAATAAAACATGGTTTAGACTTTTTTCAGGATAAAGCTGAACTGAGTGTCATGTTGTTGCAGGAAGCTAAAGAAGCTTCTCCGTCAGAGGAAGTCAGAGGTGACCTCACTCCAAGAAGAGGATCTTAAAACTTTAAAGCGCTATGAGAAAGATCATTTCATGGGTCCATTTGTTGGCATCAACCCTGAGTACATGGAGATGAGTGAGTCCTCATTTTATCATTTTCTTTCTGTTCACGGTCAAAACGCTTTTATTTTCATCATATATGAATTCATTGTTAGATGGCTCTCATTCCATGTATTTAAAAAATATTTATATATTTGTAATACTTGTGTTTTATGTCTAAGTATGGCCACTTTA